TTCTGTTGTCCTTGACCCGTCTCACTAGATTACTATATCTCTTTTTCTGTAAAGATTGTGCCTTGTAATGACTGTGAAATTTCCCAGTATTTATAACACATTTTAGAAAGCTAGTGGCAAGATTCTGGTCAGAATTTGGCCCACACATTATCAGGTTCTTCTTAGTCCTGATGGACAACATAACAACAGTGACTTGGAAGCATCTGTATCCCTGCATACTGTTTCCCACACCAGAGTGGCTTGAAAAGAAACAACTTCATCTACTGACAGAAGGGCATTGGTTAAACCAGGAAATTAGTCAGGATGTTCAGAGAACCAGCTGAACTTCTAGGTGTGGTGGAACATTTTCCCTTTTGTCACTGAGCAGCAGTCCTTCCAGCTGTTGCCTCACATGTGTGGAACAGGTGCTCTCCACCTCAGAGACCACAGTGCTGGAAGTGCTGTGCTCCATGCATAATTCTGTCTTTTGCTTATATAAATTGAAAGTGTGATGATGGTTAATTTTGCTGAATTCAGACATAGGAATGCAGGTTGCCAACTTCAGGGTGACATCCTCTAGGACTTCAGTGTCACCTAATGTTCGACACTGGGATGACTGTTGCTTCCAAGTAGTTCAGTGGCATTCAGTCAGTCAAAGGGATGTGAAATCATGTGCAGTCTTCCAATACAAGTCTTTACAGAAAGATTAACACTTAGGTTAACACTCTTCTTGGATATTTATGAGGTCTTGCTGGAGTCTTAGTCGCCCTCACATTTGTAAGGCTGGGTATTGAATAAGTGAAGAAAAGTGTGGTATATGCAAAGGGATAATTAATCCTCCTGATTTCTCCAGATTGCTCCTCCGTGCAGTAAAAAAAAAACAACCAACCACATTTTGTCAAGTGGACTGCTCCTTTTCTCTTTGTCTAACTGAACACATTTCTTTTGTCCTCCAAGAGTTAGGAAAATGTTTCTGTGATTTCACTAAATTTCCCTGGGAACATTTTCAGGTTAAAGTGAATACAGCTGCTTTGTCTGATTATTTTTCATTTGTACTACTTACATATTTAATAACTATGAAATATAAATATGTATGTTAGTGGAATTTGGGATGTAGGTTCTTTCATTTACTAAAGATGTAAGTCAAGAGATTGTTAAAAGTGAGTCCATATATATATATGTATTAAATATTAAGCTTCTTGCTGTTTGCTTCATACAGTGTTTATTGTGAAAATGCTTCATTCTTTGCATCTCTGGTTTTATGACACATTTAATGTTTCAGCAATATTGTATAGGCAAGTTACTTCAAGAAAGTACAATTATTTTAAAAACAGTATTTGACTACAAATCAGGCAAATTAAAATATCAGTTATTATCTCTCAACAGATTTTACCTGATTAGTGGTGGAGTTCCTTTTATTATATGTGGCATTACAGCAGCAACCAATATCAATAATTATGGGATTGAAGGCAATGCACCATAGTAAGTATAAACTATTATAAAAAAACTTTTAAGGAAAACATACTCTTTTTCTTATGCCAATAAATGTAACTGACCACATAAAGGGTACCGACATGCCATTTGGTATGACATTTATTATGAAATTTTATTATTTAATAGCTATAAAAGAGCAATGTCTTAATTTGGGGCTTGCTGCTTCACCTCTACCAATTTGACTCCATTACAGTCAATAGAATCACTTTTCATTTACAGAATTACTCCTCGTTTACATCCAAATAACTGAAAGGATATTAAAAATAGCTAATGTAAAGCATATTTAGTGGAGCTACTAATTAATGAAATACTTTCAATTCATTATCTACCTTGAATTGATGACCTTCAGGTGACTTATTTAAAGTAATATACAAATTGTTATGTGAAAAAAGGACAAGTGAAAGTCCCTCCTCCCCCTCCTACACCCCCATCCCTTCCTTAAAAACCAGTTATTTTGGATTTTCACCACCTGGAAATATTGCAGTGACAATGTCTTGCAATTCTGACATAGCCATGTAGTGTGTTAGTATGTTAGTGATCAGTATACCTCCACAAGCTGTCCAGGTATCACACTATTATTAATTCTTGGTGTGAGACAGGAGATATCAATAAAGCCTTTCCATCAAAGTATAGCAGAAAATGCATCAGACTGCAAAGTTAAAAACATTCAGCGTAAATGATCAGCATGGCAATGACTGGCACGCTAATGGATGTAGAAGTACTCTGCCAGCATTAGTGCTCTGGAGGACATCACTCTGAATTACTGCTGTGAGCATCTATTATAATACATTTGAAAATTAGTTATGTTCTGGGTAAGAAAAGTGGGAACAAAGGAGAATGGTTTGTAAGTGAGCATTTGGCTCCTTAAAGGCATTTTTATAGGTAATTGAAATTTAAATTCTGGTAATAAATTAGTGCATACCATGGCTAACTCTTTGCTCTGCCTAGGGCCCAACTTATATTCATATATTTATTCAAACTTATCCAATTAGACAATCACTTATAATCAACAGTATATTAAAAGACTCAATTATTTATGTTCATAAATGTGAGACATTTTTCATTTTGGCACAGTTACAGAGCTTATACTTCTTTAATCATGTTAATCATAGCCAATCAATACCTGGTACCACAGCCTGTACAAAAAACAAGGCACAGGTGAGGGGTGGTTGTAAGACTGGGTGAAAAGGCAGCTTCAAGTTCAACAACAGCATAGTGAGTTATACGCCTTATCCATTTTTAATAGTATTTGTACAGTAAATGTAGATGAAACTACAAACTTGAACTTTCTTTTACAGAACTGATTTTTTAAGTGATTCACAATGAGATTCCACTTGAAATAAGAGCACCCCAAGAGACTGTTCCTCTGGGGAGCATTTCATTCTCCACTTTGCATCAAATATGCAGGATGCAAATGTACTTCAAGTATTTATGTAGCTTTGTGCTCTCTGCTTATCCAGTTTAATACAGATGGTAGCTTTCCTAGCTTTTCACAGATATCTGTCAGGGAATCTTTTCGTATGCATGTCTAACAGCAAAATATATACTCCTTGGAGTGTCTCTAAGTTCATTATCAAATATGTGTTTGTTTTTGTTTAGATTCAGATTTTAAAAATGTAAAGTAGTTATTCTGCAGTTTCTTGTGATAAATACCCAGTGGGACTGCCTCTTTTTAGCTGAAAAGTTCTTAGCCTGGGAGAAAAAATAATTCTGCCCTTTTTATAGTAAGTGGTAGATGATTCCTGTCTTGACAAGAATAGGATATCAGAAGGTTCCTTGCTGTGTTAGAGGGACTTCAACCAATCACGCACACCTAAATGAGTATGAAGTGTCACGCAGTGTCACTTTTAGAGCTGGAATGGATCATGACAGATCACCTGGTCTGTCTTTCTGACCCAGCAGGAAATTAGCTATATCCAAACCATTCCTGACACTTATTTATCTGAGGTGTTTTAAATGTTCTGATAATGGATAGACCACACTTCATTCCAACAGCTTATTATCCTAATTGTCCTCACAGCTAGGAAAGTTCTTGAAAAATTTAATTTAAATCTTTCTTGCTACAGTTTAAGCCCATTACTTCTTGTCCTAGTCCAATAGATAAGGAAAGTAACTTACTCCTCTTTCCAGAAATCCATGTAATATTTAGAGTATAAGAACCTAGTAACAGCTGTACTAGCTTATACTGCCAGCTCAGTTCCCTGTCTGTAACCATGGCTAAAAGCAGATCATAGAGAAGAGTAAAAACTAGGCAAATATTCCTTCTCCCTCTGACCCAAGTTCTCCCAGTTTCCATCTGGGATTTCATTATCCAGAAGTGTTTTCTTCCCCTATGTTTATTTGATTAGATCATTCATCCTCAGGACAGTCCTGTTAGACTGCTACTAAATTATGCAGCTGCCTGAGGCTTATTTAGCTCATACTGGCCTGTGAACTACTTTAAGCTGCTCTAAAGCAATTATGGTTATATTATTTAAAGCCTAGCAAATAATGATCCATGCTACAATAATGTTATGCTACCAGTGTATCACAAAGAGACTGACATTTTCCTTAATTTTTCTGAGGGCATTCAAATTGATGTAAATTAACTCCCAGGAATTTCAGAAACTGTGGAGAATTCAGAAATGGCATATATTTTTTGGGACCACTCACTGCAGAAAGCGGTGTCTGTTCAACTGCAAGTCTTTTTTCAGCTTCTCTTCTTATTCAGGCTGTTCCCTACTTTGGCAATTAGAAATTTCTGGAAGAACAATCTTGAGCCTTAAGAGTTTGTACCAATGTTCATTGAAATCTGTACATTTCTATTGCTCACACAGATTGTATAAACTATGCCTCATTTGCTTTTTAATCAAAGTATTAGCACTAACATTTTTAATAGTAGAAAAAAAGGTTGACATAAATGGTCTTATACTTCACTGCAGTTCTAGATTCTAAACTGACCTACATTTCTTGGAATTTTTCAGCCTTAATATCCTGTAAATTATACTAGACATTTTTATTCTAATAAAAATATGAAAGCAATGCCTCATCTTAATTTATATTAAAGACACACTCAACAGAATGAACATATCCGAACTTCTGGGACACTGTTGGGTCACACAAGTTAGTCAGAAAGCCCAGTTTCACGTCAGTCAGTTGTCCGTTACATCTAATGTGAGCTATAAAATGTCCTTGACTCTCTTTTTTTTTTTGCTGTTTTCAGTTGCTGGATGGCATGGGAGCCTAGTCTCGGTGCTTTTTATGGACCAGTAGCATTCATTGTGCTAGTCACCTGTGTTTACTTTCTCTGCACGTATGTGCAACTGAAGCGCCATCCTGAACGCAAGTATGAGTTAAAGGAAAAGTCAGAAGATCCACAGAGAATACCAAGCACTGAGGTAGGCCATGCTCATATTACAGACCCTGTGTCCATTCCCCAGGCAACCTGCTCCATGATTTCTTCTTCCTTATTGGAAAATGAGCATTCATTTAAGGCTCAGCTTCGAGCCGCAGCATTCACTTTGTTTCTGTTTACTGCCACTTGGACCTTTGGAGCACTTGCAGTATCTCAAGGTCATTTCTTGGATATGATATTTAGCTGTCTTTATGGAGCCTTCTGTGTGACCTTGGGGCTTTTCATTCTGATCCATCACTGTGCAAAGCGAGATGATGTGTGGCATTGCTGGTGGTCCTGTTGCCCATCTAGAAGAAACACCTATTCTGTCCAAGTTAACGTGCGCCCAAAGGTTAATGTCAATGGTGACACTCAAGTTCATGCACCTTGTCTTCAGGAATCACCATGTCCCAACAAATCAGCTGTGTTTAATCATCCAGCAGCTAGCCACTGCAAACTTACTAACCTACAAGCGGTTCAAAATCATGTTAACTGCCTTTCGCCTGTGACACCATGTTGTGCAAAAATGCACTGTGATCAGCTACTTGATGATGAAGCTCACATTCATGTCCACAACGAGGGAACCTTCAGACCAAATATGCACATTCATAGATGTCTGAAAAGCAGAACTAAGCCACGCTATTTCAGTCGGCATAGGTCTGCAGGTGAAAGAGAGTATGCTTACCACATTCCTTCAAGTATTGATGGCAGCATCCACAGCTCACATACAGACAGTCCCCACAGCACACATGATAGCCAGTCAGGTCACAGACGGGCCTGCTGCTCAAAGAGCGATTCATATCCTACTGTCAACCAGCCGGAAAGTAGCGATGCAAGTACTGTAATATATAGTTGTGCTAAAATGCCAGAAAGTGACACTGTGCACCATCCAGCTCATTTTGAAATGCACCCACGGACACAGTCATTGCCTTTTAATACGACGAATCACAACGGAATTCTCAAGGGAAATGTGCATGAAGCCATGATATACAGCTCAGATAGTACAGGAAATATCAAAACTGGCCCTTGGAAAAATGAAACTACTGTGTAGTTCATGGGCCATCATAATGTGTTTTTTCCCCTAAACCACAGTTATCTTTTATTCCAAACTAAATAAGATTACATATTTGTGTAGCTCATCAGTAAATTGTACAGCTTTTCCACCTTTCTTTCCATTTTCTTAATAAGAATCTAAAAGGGAGAGATAGTGACAGTTTTAAAGTGAAATTATTTTTAAAAGAAAGTTATAAAATTATTCTGAAAGATAATTAGAAAATGAAGTCTAGACAATGAATACGAGAGGCAATATCCTTTTGTTTAACGGAACAACATTTCTTTAGAAATACATCATTTTAATTCATTGTTTTCACTTTTGTTCTGTGGTAACTTCGGACACTTTTTATAAACATATCAGCATCTTGAACTTTTACTTATTTATTTTTGTAGCAAAATATTATTACTGTGCCATGGATTTTAATCAAAAGTGACTATGGTAGAAATGATAAACAGGATTTTATAAAATTACAGCTTTTTAGATATACAAAAGTGATACTGCCTCTAAAGATCTTCTGTAGCCTATGGCCTGTAAAGTTGTGTAATGTACAGTCTCTGTTCTGTCCTTTTTCTTGTTGGAGAGAAGTGCTAGGTAATGTCTCTGTTACATCTATGGTGCTGTATTGGTTGTATTTTGCATGACATATGTCAGGATATACCATTTGCTGTTTTCTAGTGTTAAACGTGTTAAAAAAAGAACAAAAAAAGTGTTGTACAAGGCTGTGAAAAACCCTATTGATATTAATCTAGAGCATTATAAATCTACAGAAAAAATCACTCTGCACTAGTTTAAGTGGCACAATCCTTTGTATAAGGTTATATGATAGCTTTGATAAGGGTCCACTCTAATGTCTTTACAGAGCATGCACTACTCATTGTATGTGACACTGTGCAGTGTAATAGCAGTTGTCTCAACAAGTTTTACACTTCTTTGTAAAATATGCCTTTTGAACAAATCTGTAAGCTGTTTCATTATAACCTTTCCACATCTGTTAAGGTAGAGCAGTTTTATCATTAACTCTTTGAGGACTACAGTTATTTTCTTAAAATAGTTCAGAGACACTGTATATATTAAATTGTCTATTTAGTTACATGATCAATGTAGTCCAGAGTTGTCAGGAAAGAGAAAGTTCAGTCATTTTCCAAAAACACACATTCTCAGAGTCAGTCTATGAATTTCACCATTTCCTTTCTGAAAACCCATTTCCTCCCCTAGAAAATTTCAGATTCTCTTCACCCTTTAATGCAAATTTGACCTTCAGAGAAGTTCTTTATGTTCATGATTTCTGCTGAATTGTAGGGCATTCCAGGGTCAGTACCATTCTCTATTAACAAGGCTCTTTGAAAGAAATTTTTTCATGTTTCCATGAACATCTGAGCACAAAGCATCAACTCACAGTACAGAACAGCATCACAATTATCCCTATATGAAATGAAACTGCTTTTTTTCAAATAGGAAGGGTGCAGTATAATAATGGATCGCAAAAAGTGAATAGGAGACTGGATCTGAGAGAAAAATGCCTACAGTGGAAAGTGAGCAGTGCATCTATAAATAAGAGAAAAAGCACAATTCTGTATGGCCACATGAGAAAGTTCGCTGTCATGTCTTAACACAGGCTTATGTAATTGCTACGTTGCTGCAGAGCTGAAATAGAAATTCCCTTGAGAAGTCACCAGTCTGCAATTCTTTGTGTATATGTTGTAGAAATCTTCACATACGTCAGCCCATTATTTTTCTGGTATTAGCAGTTTATTACTCTCTACTTTTTTTTATGTGTAGGAATACATTTCCTAAGTGTACATAAAGATGAAAATTAAAATTGTTAGAATGTTTTAAAAACATGTAAGTCAGATGAATGTGTTCTGCAGTGTTGCAGGTGGGAATTAGTACTCAAAGGGTTAATGCTCAGTATCTGAGTGCAAGAAATCCTGTTTTTCTGTATTTTTGTAAATTTGAAATATATATTGTAAACTCCAGCAGTGCAATGTATCCATCTCAGATTGTGTATTTTTGAAAGGTGAGCGAGAAGAATGCACTAGGTGGTTGTCAAGTTTTAAGCCAATATACAACAGTTTCATGACTGCTTCTCTAGCTAATATGAAAAAAGAAACGCCTGAGCTTTATTATGTATATGCTGTATATGCTTGAACTGTCTCTAAACTAAAATACAGTATTTTTCTTTGTTTACGTAATGAAATATTTTTCTTTGTTTACATAATGAAATATTTTCTGTTTTATAATTATTTTCTTTTATTAATATTTTTCCTCATTCCACATAGACAGTGAGCCCTAAACAAGCATAGACATAATGTGAAATACCATTTCTCTATGTCTCAGCACTATGTATATGTATATTCTGTAATAGCAAAATCCTAGGAGGTCTGTAGACCATTATGCAAAATATTCCACACACACGGCCAAGTGAAATACTCACTCTGCAAGAACCCACTCGGTGAGCTTCTTTATTCAGCTTCTGTTTTAATCACCTCTGTTACTTTGTCTGAGAGGCTGGTTCCATCTTCATAATGGCTTACAAAGAAGTAAATAGGTGCTGCTTTCCACAGGATATCTTATGTGATAAAACTCTCTGGAATTTAAATGTAAAATATTAAAACACTTTTCTTATTGTGTTACAAATTAATTTAGTGAATATTTCTGGGCTAATTTGGAAGAGATGTGTTATGCAATAATCTGCATATTATTTTTTCAGAAAATATACAGTATAACTACAGAGTAGGAGAACATGATATTAAATAAATATAAAAATGTTTTGTAACATCAAATTTGACCAAAATGCTTTTGTGCTTTTGACTTTTTTTTCCTTAAGATAAATGAGATAATTCCAATGCTTTGGGAGTCTGGCTTTGTTTCATTGTGTGGTTTTGGTCAATTATAGTCAGTGAACCATTACTACTTTACCTGATTTTCTTTCCTATAAAAATAAAGTCGATGAAATAACTGGAGTATAAGAGATATATTGTCCTAGTAAATTCCTTACGGACATATATATGTAACATTCTTCAAAGTCAGCATTAGTTTTGGTGATTCATTGATGACATAAAAATGACTGAACAGATTTTTACTGTTCAGTTTCTGTCTGAGATCAGGCAAGGGACATTTCATCTGAAAAAGATAATTTTTGGACAGCGATCCAATCAATAGAAATCTAAAAGGTCATTATTACAGTACTACTATGGTGAAAATATGCTGTGATGCTGCAGTGTTCTTCTCTGCATATAGAAATTCCAGTTTTTGTGACCAAATGTCAGATCATCTGACTCCATTTTAAGTCACCATAGACTGTTCGTAAGAATTCCTACCCAGCCTCATATGAAGAACTTTGATGTTGAAATAAAGCATACGTTTTTGCACGTTGTGCCTGATCATATGTGTTGTTCCCAAGTCCGTTGGTTTTGTCTGCACTAATGTGACTCAGCAGTTGCTGTCAGTGGCCATAAACACGTGTTCTCCTTCACCGCACAGCTGCCTGCCAGCTACCCTTTGGGCACCCTATCCAGATGTTAACCCACCAAGGGAGCCTTCACTGCAGCTCTAGAGTGTCTAAACCAAAAGCAAATTCTGTGCTTAAAGCAAAGTCAAGGCCACCTTTGATAGACAACACAGGCAATTGGGCAACCTCCACTCAAACACTAAGGGCTGATAGACCTAATGGAAAAGGCTTTAAGCAATATAATTTCTCCCTTCAGCTCTCTGCCTAAACTACCTGCCTCGTAGGTCTGCTGCCTACAGACATCTGTCAAATCCAGACAAATCCAGGCAAAATTAGTCAGCTTGCCTAAAAATCCTGGTTAGCTGAAATGAGAGTGAAACAGCGCAATGGAGTTAATGATGAGAAAACTTGCAGGAAACCTTTTTGGATGCTTTGTCACAAAGCTGCTTCAGGTTCATCATGTGTGGGGACATGGGTCTAAGCATCCTGGATGCCTGGAAGATCTGAAATTGCTCTTGTGCAGACACTAAGGCTTACAAAGCTTACTCCAAAAATTTGGAGGTAGCATCCTCTGTAAATTATATGCCTTTTTACAATGAAGAGATTGTCTGACAGAATGTTTGTCCACTCGACTATCTGAGAAAAAAAAAAAAAAAGCTGTCTTCAGGACTAGCCCAATAACCTTTTTAACATAAACCCTTCTTTGCATGAGCACAGAATAAAAGGAGGTGGGTATGCTTCTCTGTAAAGGAGACCGCCTGTACTCTCACTGAGTTTTTGTTACCTGTGACAAGAAACATCAGACCTATGAAGACATTAGCAGCTCAGCAGCTTCCTTACCAGAATTCAAATTCCTGTTCCAGCACCCTCTAGTTCAGAAGGAAGCTGGAGGCAGCTGGATCAATCAGGATCCATCAGCTGGGTTTAAAGTCTGGCTGGCTGACTTCAATCAAGCAATTTCAGTAGTAATTTGGTACTCTAGGCAGCTTTTACTTACTTTGTTAACTCTACAGAAAAGGAAGCTTTTGGTTTGGTTGGTTGTTTCCTTTTGCTGTGCCCAGTTGACCTTTTTAATTAGCAATTGAATTGCTAAGATGAAAACTTATTCTACTAATTACCTTGACTATATGAACCATGGATTTTTGTTCCCTGTCTGTGAAAGTGCAAGTGAATCCCTGTTTCCTTATCCTACCAGCCTATTGCCTGAGTTTTTCAGGAGCCAAGCAAGCAAGCATCACTGAATTCAGGACAGTATTACAGGGTTTGCTTCTCTGCAAGGAGGGTTGAAATTTGATTTGCAAGCTCTACAGCTGTTCAACCTCAGACAAATATCCTGCCTTAAGGTTATGCAGCTGGCTATGCCTGAGAGGTAAGGGGTTGGTTTTTTTTTGTAAATATGGTGTTCGTATACCCCATGGGTGCTACTGTCTCTTTACATTTTGATCTCTTTGAATTCTGTAGTGCCTTGCAGTCTGAACAACAAAATGACTGACTGTTCCCGTCAGCCTGTCACTCTGCTCCAGCTGTTCCCCTTAACCTGCAGCAC